TCTTCTTCTTCTTCTTCTTCTTCTTGTTATTATCATTATTAGATTATTATTAAAAGATCCATAAGTTCTACCTCATGTTACAGGTGGGTGATGTTAGTCCAGGACTCGAGTAAAAACATATGTGAAATACAAATCCCAGAGGAATACGCAGTCCGTCAATATTGGTAGGCATTCCTCTTTCTTATAACTTGATTTCAAATCGTATCTTCATACAGATCGGTTTTCATGTAAGTGGGAAACGATACGGCAAAGTCGTAGCCTTGCGTAGCCGTGTGAAATATACTGGAAGACAATGGGAAGCCATTTCAATCTTACGGCATGTCGTACCGTGTACGCGCTGTAAGTCAGTACCGTATGTTTCCTACTCATACGATAACCATTCTTATGGGAAGCCATTTTAATGTTACGGCATGTCGGACCGTGTACGCGATGTAAGTCAGTACCGTATGTTTCCCACTCATACGATACCCATTCTTATGGGAAGCCATTTCAATGTTACGACATGTCGTGCCGTGTACGCGCTGTAAGTCAGTATCGTATGTTTCTCACTCATACGATAACCATTCTTATAGGAAGTCATTCCAATGTTACGGCATGCCGTACCGTGAACGTGCTGTAAGTCAGTACCGTATGTTTCCCACTTATACGATAACCATTCTTATGGGAAGCCATTTCAGTGTTACGGCATGTCGTACCGTGTACGTGCTGTAAGTCAGTACCGTATGTTTCTTACTCATACGATAACCATTCTTATGTGAAGCCATTTCAATGTTACAGCATGTCGTGCCGTGTACGTGCTGTAAGTCAGTACCGTATGTTTCCCACTCATACGATAACCATTCTTAAGGGAAGCCATTTCAATGTTACGGCATGTCGTACCGTGTACGTGCTGTAAATCAGTACCGTATGTTTCTTACTCATACGATAACCATTCTTATGAGAAGCCATTTCAATGTTACGGCATGTCGTACCCTGTCGGTGCTGTAAGTCAGCACCGTATGTTTTCCACTCATACGATAACCATCCATATGGGAAGCCATTTCAGTGTCCATTTCTCGTTTTTAGGATTTCCTGCATCAGGAAAGGCATTGGCAAAGTTTACGTTTTTGAAGACTTGAGAATCACGCAGCGCACCAACAGAACAAGGTAACCGAAATAATGTACGGTATGTTTTTCCTGGTATATTATAGTAGTATATCCATACTGGCCATTGTCCCACGGATCGATGAATTAGAATTGGGAATGATTCAGATCTATTGTTCCAGTGGCGGAACGATGGAAATAGATCCAGAGAGAAAAAAGGCTAGAGGAAAGGGGGGAGGGGGGGTTGGAAAGAAAACTTGGCTGCGTTACTCTCTGACGTCCTAATTTCATGAGTGTTTTTTTCGAATTTTCTTTTCAGATCACCAGGGCTGTTTAATGTCGTAGATTCCCTCTGGACATCTGAGGATCGTAAGCCATCGCAGGAAGTTAAGAGTAGTCAGATYCTGAGCCCTGATGTACGTGTTACAGATATAATAGGCAGCACACTAACCAACCAAGCCACACTTGCTCCTTAAAACAAGTGTGTGA